TATCTTTTCCACCTCACCTCAACATTTCAGCAATATTTAGAAAATACACAAAAAATACTTTCACAAAAATTCAACCTCCAAAATGTCGTAAGTAGATGTCGCTTCTCTTTAAACTCAGAAAAGCTACAAATCTAAGGAGTGCCCACAAAATATCAACCATTATCCCTCATTGCATACAAAAGCTGTGCACAGCTGTGGTGAGTATGTAGTCTAATTTGAACTGGGAAGCTGTAACAGCTTAATAAACAAGAATTCACCCTTGAATTCGCACTTTCTCTAATGGCCACTAGATGGTGCCCAAGTAACACGGAAAATCCTAATTTTTCATCTAAAAATACAACGAAATTCATTACTTTGTGGTGGTGATTAAAATATAAATTGTTGGGGAAATATTAAGGCATTTTTAAGTTGTACATTAAATGCTTAATTGACAGGCTCGACAGCTGCGGTAGTTGCTGCTTGCTCGTCCCACCACCAGCTGTTTGTTTTGAACTCAGCTGTCAACGCCCTGCAATGCTCCCTTCATCCTGTCTTAGACCTCTCTCTTACCAACCCGTTGTCTGTAACCCTGCTGCAGGTTTAATGGACAAACTGGCCTTAGTGTTTATGAAAGTACAAAAAGACTACACTGAACCATTTGGAAACACAGCCCAAGCAATCAATCAATCAATCAATCAATCAATCAATCAATCTGCTGATCAATCACTACTGTCCATCCATTCCACCAGACGGATATTACACTCAAGCAGCACTCAACCACATGTTTAAAAGCTAGAGAGCTCCATGGATGATTTAGGTTGTGATGCTGTCTGCTGTGTTGCTATGACAACGATGAAGCCGCATATTGTAGTCTCTCTTTCTCCCTGTCTGTTGCTGTCATCCTGTCATTGTTGTATTGCTTTGAACAGATGAGACCCAGAGGTAGCAGTGTCAGCTACAACACCTGCTACACCGCAGGGGGTCCTCGGAAATGGGTGCTTAGTGAGGTTGAAGATTGTGTCCGGTAGAGATAGCTTACTGACGTCACACAGTAGTGTTTCTGTAGATGTGGATAATTAGTGGTCCACTTCTTCTGAGGCTTTGTGTCCACTGGGCATCTTCAGTGAGCAGAGAACCTGCTTATACCTCCAGTCTCTGATGCAATTCGTCAGATTGTGAAAAGTGAAAAACTGTGCTTTAAGGTAGCCCACCAAAAAAATTAAAGAAAATAAAATAAAAGCTAAATGCTCTGAAGAAGGAAGCTGGAGGTTGGAGGTGGCACTCAAAACCCACTGAAAAGTCAGCAGTGCCTAGTCACACAGCCTTCTATATACAATGCTAACCCACTGTCATTAGCATGTTAGAGCCATGGTACAAAGTTGAAATATTTTTGTGAGATTGAACAAACCATTTAAAACTCTTCCAGGTTCTAATAAAGACAGATTAACTGAAGAGGTTTGTAAGGGAATTCAAACATTTGTTAGAAAAGTCTGTTTTCATTGTCCCAATTTTACCTACTGAGCTGTAGCTTTTCAAAATGGGTTTTGTTTAAATTGTTGGGTGTAGCATTAACGTTTATGTTAGTGGCACCAGAGCAATTTTTCAAAGAGTAGCCTATTGTTAACTTATGATTAATACTGATTTATTTTTTTGACCTCGTGTAAGCAATGCTGGTGTGAGGATTATTACATATAAAACAATTATGCAGTCCAGTATTGCCATCTTTCCTAACTCAGATATTTCAGTCACAGAGTGGTTCATCAGCCCTGATCCAGGAACAGCATACTCTGATGATCTGTTATAGCAAGAGCGCTGAGACTATGAATTCATCGGATGGTGGGCAATCTTCTCAGCAACTTCTCCATTAAAGAGAAAAAACCGCAGTCAGATCTTTGTTTTGCATTTTACATATAATCACATAGATTCTTGTTGTGTGTTGTGCTTATATAAGGGGTTTTTCAAACAAGCTCGCTTGTATGTGTTTCCTTAGGGTTAAGAGGCCAGTAAAGCTAAATTTTGTTGCCCCCTGTGATGAAAAAAGCTAAGACTTATTATTTTGTTTGCTTTCCATAGGAACACTTGCTGGTATCTGGATTCCAGATACCAGTCAGTTACCGTGGCAACTTAATCTGAACTGACCCGCTTGCTGGAAGGTTTTTTTTCAACGAACCCTGAGTTTCCCTTTGTCTCCTCCCCTCCTGCCTCTACATTTCCTCATTCGTACAGTCGTGCATATCTGAGCGCATTAAATTTTTATTGGGAGAAGATGATCAATAACCTAGTTTGATATTAGTTTGTTAACTAAGGGCTATCTTTATCAACATGATCGTGTTTATGATCAATCAATTCTTTAAACAGCTATTCCTTTTAATTCGAGTCGGCTAAATGATGAATGAGTGGTATATCCTGAATAAAAAGCAGTGTTAACTTTTTTCTAATCCAACTCACTGCTGCTGCTGTGTTTAAAGATAGCCTCAATGTACATAATATATCATAACATATCACCTTTTAAGTTGATCTGCCAAACTTGTTAACAAACAGTTCCTTATTTACACGTATGACTGTTAAGGAGCAACATGATGAGTGCATGTCTAATATTCACTCTCTTTCAGATTTGTTTTTGGTCTCTGCCTCTTTGGCTGCTAAATGCTCCACTAACGCTAATGGCTAACTGCAGATTCAGCACTGTGAGCGACCCTCTTCAGGTTGTCGTATTCTTTAAAATTGTCATTTGATGCATTGTTACTGTAAAAATATCAATCACAGCTGCTTTGAATTAATAACCATCATCATCAAGGGAATTAACATTGCCTAATGTTAGCTTTTCACAGTTTCCTGGACCTTCATGGACCTTGAGGCCGCTGGTTGCATTCTGAGCACCCTGTGACTTCCTGCTCCATCTTTGATTTTACATGGTTGTATTGAGTTTAATGGAGGAGTTGCCTTCCCATCTTATACTGACGACCATCCAATGAGTTCATATTTTAAACATTCTTGTTCTCAAGTTCTATGTGCTGCTCAGTGACTAAAGTGTCTCGAGTTACAGGAGCTAGCAATCCAGAACCGTGATATGTGGTACAATGTTTAGGGCTAATGAATATCATAAGCCACGGAGGGGCGAGCTTACTCCCTGTTGGACTACAAAAATGCACCATCACTGGACCAACCTATTTACTCAGTCATGACCTTTGACCATAATGACCCCTGTGCTGTTTGCTTGTGGAGGGCAGCGCGGCCTGGTCCTGCCCGAGGAACTGGAGTTCGCTATTCACCTCCCACAACTGCAACAACAACAACAACCACCACCACAACAACAACATCCAGCCATCCTCAACATCTGTAAAACAAACAGGTGGCGGCCCAATGATATCAGTGCTTCCTTCCTGTCAAACAGCTAAACCTTTAAAACATCAACTCTTCAAATAGAATATATTCATAAATCCAATCTGATTGGATAAATCACTGTTTACATAAATATATATAGGTGTGTGTGTATGTAATATGTATGTATACAGTATGTATGTAATATGAAATATATGTGTGTGTCTGTGTGTGTCTGTGTGTGTATATATGTGTGTGTATAATATTATTTTTGCTTTTTTATACAAAAAGAGAAAGTATTTTGTAATTTATACATATATGTATGTACAGATATAGAAAAGTGACCACAATGAGTCTGCTGTGATGTAACCGTGGGCAACAGGACAGGACAGTATTTACACCAAACAGGTAATATTACAATTTAAAAAAAAAAAAAAGAAAAGGGACGTGGTGGTCATTGTGGTGTTTCAAAAACGTGCCACAATTCCCTGTACAGAGGAAGGGGGCGGGGCTCTGGTCACATGACTCTCAACTAAAACGAGTGAAAGAGAGAGAGAGTGCTGACAGCGAGGTGATACAGTTCAATTAATTACATGTGTAAAATGTTGAATACTGCTGAAACAGAGCTGATCCTGAGACACGTTCACCAGATTCCATAAAAGTCTGATTGAATATTATTATTGATATTACTATTAATATTCAATTGAGATTTTTACTGGATATTTCTAGTGTGTAATGATGGCTTTGGAGGCTTTTCTTCCCTCAAAAAAAAAAAATCAAAGTCCATTGGGAATACCTGACATGAATGTTGTCAGGTTTGAAAGAGAATACAGATTTAATACATTTCTGAATAATAATTATATCAACTCTCATGATTCTCTCTCCCTGTCTCTCTCAAGGTTGCTAAATAGTGAGATAAGAACAAATTAAGGCATCCAGATGAAGAAACAAAGACCCAAAAATGAACTGACAGACTGAAACAACAGCAGTATTTGTGTGTGTGTGTGTGTGTGTGTGTGTGTGTGTGTGTGTGTGTGTGTGTGTTTCTTCAGTCCTGATTGGCTGGTTGGTTTTGCTGAGGTGCTGCGGCGGTGGTGTTCTGTGGTTTCTGGTTTGATGGTTTTGTTTTTGTGGACATAAAAAGGCACCTAGTTCCTCCTCCTCCTTTGCTCATTTAAAAATCGGTTATTCCTCCTCCACCCCCTTGTTCGCTCAGCCCGTCTCTCCGGCGCACCGACAGACTCGCAAGAAGACAAGTCGTCCGCTTGGGAGTCTGACATTTTGTTGGGATTCAGATGCAGGTTTTCCAAAGTCATCGTCCCTCACTGGAAACAGAGGAGTTGGGATGAAATAAAAAGACAAAAGAATGATTGAAGGGTGGAGGGGAGTAATTCAGTGGTGCTGTGTACAGGTGGTATACAGTATATAGGTTACAAGAGGTGTATCCTTGCTGACGCTCCCCTCCTCTGGTTTCCATGGAGATGCTAACAAGTCGTCTGCTCCTCCTTGGGCTGATGAACCACTAGAAAATAGACGTGTCAAAAGTTTTTCACAGCCTGTCCTTCTCCTGCCTCGATAATGTTCTCCTCAGGCAAATCGGAGCTCTCCTCAACGGCACAGTTCCGCCTTGTGTGCGTGCACCGACACCAACTCCATGGAGGAAGAAGAAAAGGAAGAGGAAGAGGAGGTGCTAGAAGGAGGTGAATGTGGAGTTTTTTGTGTGCTTCTTGTTTAAGTTCCTCCTACAATACAGGCTCTTCTTCCATTGGCTCCTCTGTGGACCTGTGGGCAGTTCAAAATCAAACATCACATTTAAGAGCACTTATCAAATTTTGCAAAATTACCCTAAAAGGATACAGTCTGTTTAAAGTGGCTATTTGTAAGTTTTTTCTTTGACGAGACTGGTTAGTTGGTTAGCATGCTAACTTCAGTAGAAGAAAAGACATGATGAAGAAAAGAGTTAACATTGGCGTTGCTTGCCATCGCTGGAGACAGCTGATGCTGAACTCACACCGTTTCTTTTTCTAGCTCTTAATGCTAACGTTGGTAGCACTAGCACAACTTACTGCTTGTGGGCTTGTACTGCACTTTTATACTCAGTGGATCTCTGCTTAGTCTGCTTCATAATGTTATGATGATGTGATGTAATGTAATTCTGGTAATGTTATCAGAAAGTCACCACAGTTGCTCTGCTGACCTGCTGGTTTCTGAGTTGTCAGGAACAGAGCCCGGCTGCTCAACATCAACACTCAGGGAGGCCATGGCGCTGACTGTGTCTGCCTCGTCCTTCTCCGATTGGCCCTTAGCACCAAGGGGGCAATCCAATAACGAGTGGCCGCTTGTCTGAGACAAACTCTGGAGACAAGACCAGTGTTTACCTGGAGGGACAGAGAGAGACATACACATGGACTGAGGATGGAGACATGCTGCACACCTTACTGTACATATTTACTCTGTGTGTGTGTGTGTGTGTGTGTGTGTGTGTGTGTGTGTGTGTGTGTGTGTGTGTGTGTGTGTCTTACTCTGGATCTCTATTACTCTCTCCAGTGAGGCGCAGGCTTTTGGACATGGCTTCTCCTGAGGCCACTGAAATACAGAGTCACACTGAGAGAGACAGAGAGAGTGTGTTAACAGAAATGTATGAAATAAACAGATTCAAATACATCTCCCACAAACACATTTATCACCCTGTATATCACTGACTGCTGGCTTCTTTGCCAGCTTTTTTCATCTGCTGTGTTTGAAGGAATAGTTCAAAGACTTAACATACAATTACAGATGGACTATTAATAACTTAATATCATGCATCATCACACTGATAAGTTAGGTATCAGTTCTCTCTCGCTCTCAGAGTTTATGCTATCTGTTTGACCATAACATTGCACCAGATCATCTTTTTGACACGACATCTGCAGTGGATGTGGTGGTGTCAGGTCACATGACCTCCTCATAAATAGGATGCTGTGCACAGTAACAGCATCCTGCACTTGTCTGCTGAGAAACTGTTCTAGCACATAGCCACCACCATAAAACCACAAACTATGAATTTCATATATCAGTGTATGTACAGATAAAAGAAATCACATGCAAAGTATCAACTAGTGAACAATTTTTACACTTTAAAAAGAGTAGGTGTTTCACCCTGCTTCTTTAGCTTTATGCTAAGCTAAGCTAACCACACCCCGTCTTCAGCTCTAAGAAGTGAAGAGTGGTAAGGAAAAGAAAAATATTTCCCAAAATGTTGAACTATTCCTTTAAAATTCAAATGGATATTTCCTAATGTTGCACTGGGCAGTTATGAAAGCGCTTCATGTCACTTCAAATCACCACTTGTGTTTCTGGTCATGTTATACTTCCATATTGTTCTTTGGGATGGTGGATGACACCTCAGGTTTGAAAGTGTGAATAGTTTGTGTGAAATTAAAACATGAATAATTATCGATGATAATGTGACTCCGCGTCTCACCGCGTCTCCCAGAAGCGCAGAGACACAGGCCTCTGATGCGTCACAGATGGCAGTGAGGTCATGACCGCCCTCCAGCGCCATAACAACCCGCCCACCTGCCAGTCCCATCAGCAGCTGCGTTAGCTGACCAAAGCCTGTCCACACACACACACACACACACACGCACACACACGCACTCACACACACACACACACACACACACACACACACACACACACACACACACACACATACACACACACACACACACACACAGAGACACACCAGTCACAGTTAAAGAAACAATAATTACAACCTTATTCACAATCATGTAATTGAAACTGCAATTAGAAAGTTCCCCTGTCTGGTCACCACGGTAACCAGCATGGTACTCACACTTGGCAGAGACATTGTAGCCTCCCAGAGGAGACTGATGACCCTCAACTGCATCAAAGCCTGCAGACACCAGGACCACATCTGGGCTGAACTGCTGGGCGATGGGCATCACCACGCTCCTACACACACACACACACACACACACACACACAACACACACACACACACACACACACACACACACACACACACACACACACACACACACACACACACAGAGTCGACATTTGAAAACATGTTGCTTCCTTAAGGTGTTTTCATACTTAACACAGAGCTCCTAACTTTGACCACAGGGAAAACTTTGTACACAATATTTATTCTCCATAAACAGTCAAAGCACCGAAGGTACCAATCAAGTGCACAGAGATTATTCCTGCAGATTCTCTATTTTTTACTATTTTACATTGAGAGATGACCATCATTTTCAATGATGCTGAGGTTACACAAGCAGAAAGAAAACGAACCAAACAAAAAAATCAGAAATACAAAAGTCCAATATGTACCTCAGTCTGCACTGCTTGGAGCACAGCATGTCTATTTGTGTCTTTATTGATGAGGTACACACACACTTGGTAATAGTGTCACCATTTGATAATAATAACTATCATATTAATAATAATGTTTACCTAAAGGCAGTAAGGTACTCCACATCACCCATAGGGGGCTCCACTCCTCCGGTCCAAGCTATGTTCACATTAAAACCAACACCGGCACCTGATCCCACCTGCACAGAGGGACACAGAGAGATGACATAATTGTAATTATTCTTGTGCGTATGTGTGTGTGTGTGTGTGTGTGTGTGTGTGTGTGTGTGTGTGTGCGCGTGTGCAAGTTGGCCATAAATATAAATATAATAATAATAATAAATGTAATGGAAAATATGGAAAATATGAAACAAACACCAATATTTTTACTTAGACTTTGGTTGTATTAGTTGGTTAATGGTAGCATGCAGTGACAGATCAAGTCACTAGATGGCGCACATGTGACATCACAGCAGCCACATCACTTAATTCAATGTCAAAAAGCTTAATAAATTATTAATTATTGGAAATAAGCACATGAATTAGTTTTTACTTTTTAAAGTATATTTTTTTGGGCTTTTATGCCTTTAATGGACAGCAACAGTGGAGAGTGACAGGAAACGGGGAGGCAGAGAGAGGGGGAAATGACATGCAGTGAAGGCCGTCCGATGCGGGATTCGCGAACCGGGGCCGACTGCAAGCGAGGACTGTAGCCTCTACACATGGGGCGCCTGCTTAAACCACTACGCTACACGACGCCCTAGTTTTTACTTTTGAAGACTTTTAATATTACTTAATAATTAATTAATTAATTAAGTCAGTTGAAAGTGTTCGTTCCTAATGAGCACTGCAGTACACACTCTCTACAATAAATTCCTCCTGATCCTGTTTTTTATCCAATACAAGTAGATGGTTGTAAACAGGGTGCAGGAGACTTTGCACTAAAACCAATAAAATACAAGCTCATCTGGTCCAGTCCAGTACATGGCAAGCATTTAAGCATTAAGCAGAAAAGCAGAATTGAGCCAAAATACAAGACAACATCTTAATCTGTTTATGAAAAACAGGAATATGAATGTACAGCCAGCATTTATGTTGAATTTAGATGTTTAAATTTAAATCTTTTTTTTTTTTCTCTCCAAAGGTAGTTTTGTTTTCTAGAGGATCTTTCTGCTTCATGAGAAAAGACACAGATGAAGTCAGCAGCCAAGCTGAGCTGTTGGATGTTTACACATACAGGAAGGATGCACACTTGTGTGAACAAAGAAGAAGAAACACACAAAGACAAATAGGTGAAACGTGATGCAGAGGAGGATTATCAACGGGAGAAGGGGAAGCAGCACTCAAAGCACATTTTCACACTGTTTCACTACTCGACAGTTGGTGGTGGAACGCCCAAGAAATGGAGCAATGCACCAGTAAAAGGAGGAAAGAACTCATAGTCGATTTAGAGAATCCATGTTTTAAAAAATCTGTTTTTAATAATGTTTGATGAGGAGGAAATGCATTTGTCAGGCAATAAAGGATTACACGCAGTGCGTTTTTGGTTAGTAAGACATGCTGAATCTAAGCATTCCTGTAGATACACATTTTAAACACACTGACGGTAAGGTCACCACTGCTCAGGTTTTTAATGAATTTCAGTCTCATGTCCACTGTGTATTCACACATTCCAGTGTTTTTTTTCTAATATAAGACTTTACTGATACCCTGGGGAAAAATGCACCATACAGCTACGGTGTAGATGTCTCCAGTGGTGCACAATGATGACAGGAACACTAGTGTTGTAGTTAATACATCAGAAAGTGAGACGACTCTGGTTCAACTATTCCTGAATTCCTCACTTCTACTTTGTGTGTGGTGTGTGGTGTATGTGTGTGTTGGTGTGTGTGTGTGTGTGTGTGTGGTGTGTGTGTGTACCTCTTCAGGAGCTCCACTGCCAGGAAAGAAGTTTCCATTATCGTACCGATGGAGAGAGATGTAGAGGACGTTGGGGTCACTGTAGAAGGCCTGCTGGGTGCCGTTGCCATGGTGAATGTCCTGCAGTGCCAGGTCACAGTGCCATCAGAGAGAAGGTCAGTGGGATATTATGATACAGACACACTGAACACACACAGTCTGTCAACATTTTATCCAGATTAGTCCTGCTTGCCTGCATAAAGGCTGGTCAGAATTTTTAGCTCTTAAAATTAAGTTTGAATGAATATGAATGAATAAAAATTGAAGGCAGCGTGGTTGAGGATATGAATCATTTGGCGGTAAATTACACTTTGTAGATCGAAATGACTAATTTTTCTAGCCTACAGAGTTTTAAAGGTCCCATATTACATTTTTCCTGTGTTTTTATTTGAAGTGTTGATCCATAAGAAATATATTTGTGGTGTTAATAACAAAAACCACTCCATCTACTTTTACATCTTCTCTCTAAGGCTTGTCTCTGTTGCTCTAGTAAGAACAGGTCAGTGAGCCAATCAGAAGAGAAGAGGCTCTGAGCCTCTCTTCTGAGTGGCTGACATTTTTCTGAGTGATTTGAATTAAAATAAAACAGATTTCAGGTAAACACTCGGAGAAACTAAATCCTGCAAGGTTGGATAGTGGGTCCGGGTGGGGTATGGCTGAGGACAGTGACTGCTTTGTTGTGACATCACAAAGTTACAAAAATCCTGACAGCTCGTTTTAAGGCTCATTTTCTGACAGGCGTGTGTGCATTTCTCTGTGGACTGAAGCGCTTTGATACTTTCATATTATTAATATAGAACGTAGACCTGCTTTATAATCAGAAAAGACATGGAAATCTAGCTTTATACATGGCTTAAT